AATGTCATTTTGCTTTGATTTTGAAGTCTGCAGATCACGGATTCAGTCTAAGACTATTCTTCATTGTTGATTAAGTCTATTAAGTTCAAATTTGAGCGAATTTTTTTCGTTTTGTCAAATCATTTATCATAGAGTTTTTTTTTGTCATGATGTGGACAACTGTGCAAGGAAATGGTAAAATACCTTACTTCGATCTCTCTCAACATTTTGAATAATTGGGACCAATACTATCTATAGTTGCATGGAAAGGGAGAAATCGAATAATAATAGTTATAAAAACTAATTAAATACTTAAAAGCAATCCACCCAACTAAGTCATTCATGTTTATCTTATGCATATCCTCTTGCGCATTCTCATAAAAAAACGGTCATATTCAAAACGAATGAATTAAACACCAACTCATTTCTTTACCAGATATCGTGAGCTTAAAAAAGCAGGGATCCTTTATGGCATCATATGCCCAAAGGCAAAAATAGAATAATATGACCTACAATTGAGAGGAGGTCTCTAGCAAGTAAGCAAACATTATGATAATTACTATAAAGATTTCATTTATAGAAAATGGTAGGGAATATGGAAAGGACCTCACAACAAACATTAAAAGATCAATAGAAGATTTGTTAAAACTTGTGAAAGGCAAATCTCCTCCTTCCAACACAACGGCCACCTATTGGTGAAAACTCGTTTGAATTAGCCAAGAAACAAAAACAATGGTGTAGGTTAGAGAAACCATAGTGAACAGTAACTATTTTAACTTTATATATATATAATTAAGATATATCTATCTTTAACCCATATGTGATATGACCATGCATTCCAATTGAAATTGGGATGAGGGCTAAAGGCGAAAATAATATAGCTGGCAGCCACAACCTTTGTCTCAGTCTTTTGTTTTTTTTTTACAATACCTTTATCTCAGTCGATGGCGTGAGAAGGGAGAAATACAGAGGAGGAGGACTGACTCATTTCTTCTCAAATAAATCTTTTTATTTTTTTCCTTAATATAAGAAAGCCATAACTCATTAGTTACTAACAGTAGTCTAGGGACAGACTGAGGGGGACAAAGTCGTCTGACCTGCTCTCATTAAAAAATTAATAAAATAGTAAAGTTTTGGATTGTGGTGATTAGCAGTGGGAGGTCGAGGGCTGGGGAATGGAGAAGGGACGTTTCTCTTTTTTATCTCTTTGTTTGTGTGAGAGAAGATGAGGGGTTTAATTGCTTTGGGGGAAGGAATCTTGCAGGCAGAACAATAAATATATACCGTCCAAAAAGGACAATATTTACCTGCAGACTAGGTTGTAGGGGGTTCCTGCAACCTGTCCAGGTGTCGGTCATTAATAGGTTGTTTTGTCATTTTTTATTAATTGATTCTACTCCCACAAATTCTAACGGAACAACTGCTAATTTTTTCAAAACGCCATTTTTCTTGGATTTCGAAGACTACAGATCACGCATTCGGCTTGAGCATATTTTTCATCGATGAGAAAGTCTACTAATCGCCGATTTAGCGGATTTTTTCAGAGGGCACTTTCATAAATTTTTGGGTGATATTTTCTAAATGTCATTTTGCTTTGATTTTGAAGTCTGCAGATCACGGATTCAGTATAAGACTATTCTTCACTGTTGATTAAGTCTATTAAGTATAAATTTGAGCTAATTTTTTTCGTTCTGTCAAATCATTAATCATAGAGTTTTTTTTTTTTTGTCATGATGTGGACAACTGTGCAAGGAAATGGTAAAATACCTTACTTCGATCTCTCTCAACATTTTGAATAATTGGGACCAATACTATCTATAGTTGCATGGAAAGGGAGAAATCGAATAATAATAGTTATAAAAACTAATGAAATACTTGAAAGCAATCCACCCAACTAAGTCATTCACGTTTATCTTATGCATATCCTCTTGCGCATTCCCATAAAAAAACGGTCATATTCAAAACGAATGAATTAAACACCAACTCATTTCATTACCAGATATCGTGAGCTTAAAAAAGCAGGGATCCTTTATGGCATCATATGCCCAAAGGCAAAAATAGCATAATATGACCTACAATTGAGAGTTGGTCTCTAGCAAGTAAGCAAACATTATGATAATTACTATAAAGATTTCATTTATAGAAAATGGTAGGGAATATGGAAAGGACCTCACAACAAACATTAAAAGATCAATTAAAGATTTGTTAAAATTTGTGAAAGGCAAATCTCCTCCTTCCAACACAACGGCCACCTATTGGTGAAAAATCGTTTGAATTAGCCAAGAAACAAAAACAATGGTGTAGGTTAGAGAAACCATAGTGAACAGTAACTATTTTAACTTTATATATATACATATAATTAATATATATCTATCTTTAACCCATATGTGTTATGACCATGCATTCCAATTGGAATTGGGATGAGGGCTAAAGGCGAAAATAATATAGCTGGCAACCACAACCTTTGTCTCAGTGTTTTTTTTTTATAATACCTTTATCTCAGTCGATGGCGTGAGAAGGGAGAAATACAGAGGAGGAGGACTGACTCATTTCTTCTCAAACAAATCTTTTTATTTTTTTCCTTAATATAAGAAATCCATAACTCATTAATTACTAACAGTATTCTAGGGACAGACTGAGGGGGACAAAGTCGTCTGACCTGCTCTCATTAAAAAATTAATAAAATAGTAAAGTTTTGGATTGTGGTGATTAGCAGGGGGAGGTCAAGGGCTGGGGAATGGAGAAGGGACGTTTCTCTTTCTCTTTTTTTATCGCTTTGTTTGTGTGAGAGAAGATGAGGGGTTTAATTGCTTTGCAGGAAGGAATCTTGCTGGCAGAACAATAAATATATACCGTCCAAAAAGGACAATATTTACCTGCAGACTAGGTTGTAGGAGGTTCCTGCAACCTGTCTAGGTGTCGGTCATTAATAGGTGTCCTTTTTTATTAATTGATTCCACTCCCACAAATTCTAACGGAACAGCTGATATTCCCGTTAGCAGCTAACGGGGTACGGGGTGTGTCTGATTTATTTATTATATATTTTCTCACTCTCTCTCCTCTCTATAATTCCACAAAATAAAAAAAGTCACTGTATCCCAAACTAAAAAGGAGAATGCAAAGGGTTTGTGACTATATATATAAGGTTCAATTGTATATTGATTTTGTGATTTATTTGCGGTGGGCTGCTGTAGCTGATTGTTGGTACATATCAATTGCAGATTGCTGATCAGGTATGGCTTCTCCTCCGTTTTTCTTTTTGTTCTCTGACAAGTACAAAAGTTAATTTATAGTAGTAGAGCTATGTCTTGGTGAACGTAAGTTGGTTTTGTTTGGCTTAACATATTTTGATGAATAATCATAGTTGACGGCCCTCTTTGCTTTATTAGAGAAGCGCTACTTTTTCTGTAACATTGTTATTTGTTTATTTTTATAATTTTAAATGGAAATATATTATGTGATTTTCTAGGTACAAGAGATGAGTGCAAATTATGAAGTGCCATGTATAGGCATGAAGTTTGATTGTGATGATAGTGCCTATGAATTTTATACAACATATGCACACAATATTGGTTTCAGCGTAAAGAAAAACTTCATCAAGCGTACAAAGTCTGGACAGGTGAAACGTAGGACATTTAGTTGTTCTAACCAAGGGAAAAAGGGTATTGATAAGAGGTCTAAAAAGGTAGCCTGCGAAAGGCCAATAACAATAGTGGGTTGTCTACCCCGATGAAACGTATGTTGAGGTCCAATAGGAAGCTCAGTTATGCTCAAAAAGCTATTGGTTTGTAGTCATAATATAGGCACGTAGGTGTGCTGGCTGCTTGTAATAATTAATGAAGGGATGGTAATATATACATTTTTTTATTCAATGGGTAATATATACATGATACATGAACGAGACCCACAATTGACAATGGTTGATCAGCTTTGACTCGTTCCATTTTCGATCCGTTTTTGCCTAATGTTCATGTAATTTTTCTCAAATTACTTATATTTTTACTTTTTTAGGGGACAACTGGACTAACAGAATCTCAAAGTTTAACTATTGATACGACAAGACATAAGTCTGAAGAAAGTTTTGAGTTCACAGTTCCTTCAAATAACATTTCATTTACTCAACTGTTACAGGTATGTCGTTGAAACTACTATTACTTTATATTTTTCTTAGATTTTTATTTAACAATGTTCTTAATTTGTACCAACGCATGAGGCAATTGCAAATTCACATGCGGATGCACCAAAATAGCGAACATATATTTTTCTATCAGCTCTTGGTGAAATGACATTATTGAATTCTTTTCTAGAAAATTATTTTGAGATTTATTTTGAATCAATTTCGATTGGTTACGTTATTTTCTGGAATTTGGGAACCTTTTGGAATTGATTATGCATGTAACTTACTTTGAGATTTATTTTGGCACAATTCTGACTTTCTGAGATATTACATTTTTTGGGAGATTGATTGCATTTGTTGTTGACTGTAATTTGATTAAATGTTTAATTGATAAAATGATGCTTCAATTATAGTCATAGGAGTTGACAATAAAATGAAAAATAATTAAATTATCTTCTTTGACTTGCATGAGACAGAGAAAGGACAGAAGGTGATGAGATTTTTTTTCTTTGAAAAAAGTCACTCCATTAGCGGCTGTTCCGTTAGAATTTGCGGTAGTGGAATCAATTAATAAAAAAGGACAAAACAACCTATTAATGACTGACACCTGGACAAGTTGCAGGAACCCCCTACAACCTAGTCTGCAGGTAAATATTGTCCTTGTTCTGCCAGCAAGATTCCTTCCCCCAAACCAATTAAAGCGATAAAAAAGAGAGAGAAACGTCTCTTCTCCATTCCCCAGCCATCGACCTCCCCCTGCTAATCACCACAATCCAAAACTATACCATTTTTGGTTCTGCTTTACTTGGTCCTTCTCTTCCATTTTCCATCTTGAGATCCATTACTCAAAATAGCCTCTGACTACTTGATGCAACCTTCTCCTATCTTTACCATTGCAGTTTTGAGAATGTTTGTTTGGTTTAAAGTAGTGGATGATGAGGATCCACAAGGTGTTTGCAATAGCAGCACATTCAAACAGAAGCTAGAATGGGTACCTCCAGCTCAAGGTACTCGAGTCTTCTCGTCCAAGAACCACCCCACCCCACTGGTCCGACCTCCCCTGCCCCCTTAGCCTCCGGCGGCGAGAACCTGCAGCAGGATTCTTCATGGGTGTTTAAATTCCACCAGCGACTGGAGTGGGCGTACTACACGACGGCGGCGGCGGCAGCAGCTATATTGGCATTTTCCATCAAAGGCAACAAGGATATGAAGGATTTGGACGACTACTTCAGGGACTACGTGATCATCATGTTGGCTTCTGCTGTCCTGGTCATCCATTTCATCATCGTGACCATACTCCTGCTGAAAGACCCTCTAAGGGCTTGGGGCTCCTGGGAGTTCGCTGGCACATGGGGTGGGTTGCTATCCACAGACGTAGGGTTGTGTGGTTACAGCTTTGTAGTCGGCCAGTTCTCAGCAAGCACTACAATTGTCGGGCCGTTCTACATGCTTCTCTTTTGTGTCTACTGTGTTGTGGTGGCTCATGCTTGTAGGTTTCCAGTTGTATTTGGGGCCTCTTCAACTTGGCTATCGTAAGTTTGCTGGCTACACTTATATATTTGTTTGTTTATTATTCTATAAACTTAATTAATTTTTCTTGTTGTTTAAGTATGGGTCTAATAATACACTTTTTGCATTTCTGTGGTTTAAGGACAACAGGTGCCATGGTCTGGGCACCTGGTGCAACAGTCAGCTTGGGAAAAGCTATTTGGGTCACCGTGTTCGTAGGCTACCTCTTCGTTGTTAGAACTTATATGGTAAGCCAGCTGAAGACAGCAGAGGATGAAAAGGTTAACCGTGAAAAGGAAGTTGCTGCACGTAGAGTGAATCATAGGATGGTTGCGATGGAGGCAGCGGCGGCGGCCAGAGTGGCAGCGGCGGAGAAACGAGCGGCAGCGGCGGAGAAACAAGCGGTAGAGGCGGAGGCCCGAGTTGCAGCGGCGCTGACCGGAGCGGCATCGGCAGAGTCCTCCGGGGTGGTGGAGAAGGCAGTTGCGGAGGCATCTGAGGTGGCGGAGAAGGTATCATCGGAGAAGGCAGTGGCGGAGGCATCTGAAGCTGCGGAGAAGGCAGCGGCGGAGAGGGCGAGGGGATCAAGACGAGAGTGTGAAGGAAAAATAAACTAAATGGCTAAATATCGACCCTAACTTTACTATTATCGTCTAACTTGAAAATGGAAATGACGTAATTGCCCCTAGAAATAAAAACCCCAAAGGAAACACATCCTAATTCCTAACAAATACCACTCCTCTCTCCTTTAAGCCGCTGACGCCTGCATCCAACCAACCTGCCGTCGACGACCTCCGCCACAAAGCCCCACCCAATCCCGCTTCCTCCATCCAACCGCTGTCGTTCTCCTCTCCTCCAACAGTCACTCGCTACTTCTGTCTCTCGTCCAGCCGTCGTCACACCGTCGCGGTGCATCCTCTCCTCCGTCTCGCCGGCGACCCTTCTCCGACGTCCTCCCGCATTTCAGGTAATGGTGATGTACTAGTCAATAAACATCAATTATTCAATTGTTACATTCTGCACCGTTGTTGTGCTGATTTGGATATCATTTGAAGAGTTTTTATCAGATCCCACCATTCAGATTCCATTCCCATTAGGGGAATTGTTATGAAGAAGATTCTTCAATTATGAACCTGTGTATTGGGTTCTGGCCATAAACCAATCGTCCGATATGTTCTTCTTCTTTTTTTACTGTGAACGTCGAATGTCCATTCCTGTCCCGCTCAACCACCCTATCTCTCTCCCCCTGGAAACTCTCAGATGAGGAACTAGTTTCTAAAAATATAAATGAATGGGTAAAAATGTAATACTAATTTTTAAGTTAGGACGATTATAATAAATTAGGGCGATAATTAGCAACTCCCAATATAAAGTCTCCAAACTCTGCATGCAAAGGGGATTGATTGTAACTACTAACCATCATAATCATAAAGACAAATTCAAAAAGAAAATAAAAGGTAAGTGATAGGGGGAGGTAAGGATGAGACATGAGCGTGGGAAGGGGAAATTTTGTGGTGTTTTGTATTGGAAAAGTAAGTCTACTCTGTAATATGTATTGAAAAGATTTCTCTCTCTCATTTCAAGATAAAGGAAGCTGTTCTTTTCTTCCTTCCTTCCTTCCTTCTATTGTGCAAGAAAAGAGGAGTTTTAATGAAAGTACAACTGGAGTTTTTACTAATTTATTAATTTATATATTTGAGAGCAAGTCAAACTCTGTCTCCCACAATTCCATTAATATACTTGGCCGTTTGGAGGAGAAATTGTAGGAGGAGAAATTGTAACTTCTGAGATAATTGAAGTAAATTGACCAATTTGTCATCATAAAAATTGAATGTTGCATTAGGTATTTAGAATTGATTCGTTTTGAGTTAATTTTGATCGTTCAAGATAAAAACAAATAATTCGAATGAACTCATTATATAAAACGAGACAATTGGGCAACATAGATTAGATAGTAGACGTATGACCTTCATGTCCCACAATTGAACTCATAAGGTTATCCGAAGGAGATGAAGTGTCTAAATATCGCCTTTAATAATGGTGTGCTTCGATTCTCATTGCTTACGCTAATGAGAAAACAAAATTTGAACTCACCACAAGATTACAAGTCCAAATGATCGGCACTCATAAAGTGTATTCACCATTTACAGAGGCCATCGCAATTTTAAACGTATATGCTGACATCCGCTTCATCTATCTACCAAAGCACTTGGCTATCTTTTCTATAACCCAAATTATATAAGTTGTGTTATAATTTTACCTTGTCTTGACGGTGTTGTTGTTGCAATTTGCATACAGAAATGGTAAAGATGGATCCATGTGTTTTTTTTTAAGAAAACATTCATTCATTCCCTTAGAGGTTGATACAATTACAGGATAGCAGAGATAATATTAAGGACAACAAGCCAGTCCTGGTGGAGGGTGTTTAATCTAGCATTTCGGGCAATCCACTGCTTCTTTGTTGTTCCGTCGCCAAGTGAAAGCAGTGTTCATCCAATTGGACACCTGGATGATCCGTTAAATGGAGGAGAGGATGGCGTAGCAATTCCAGGGCCACAAGTCCGAGTGGTTCTTCAGAGCATCCACTAGAGCTTTACAATATGAAAAGATAGTTGATGGGACATGCTCTCTCATTGCCAACTCACATGCTTCCAACAAAGAGTAGGCTTCAGTCTCTAAAGGGGATGAACAAACAACCCGTCCAGCCTTACCATCCACAAACTGTCCATGTGGGTTAGTAATAACCACCCCATAAGCCGCCTCTCTTGAAATAGGATAAAAAGAACCATCACAATAAATCCTTCTCGTGAGTGTTGTTGGCAGTGGACACGGTTGTTGATGATCGTCCCTGGGCTGTGAAACAGAAGACGAGGAAGTGACCATCATCTGAGGCTCAGGTGCATCTAAGAAAGCTTGAATGGAGGAGGACACCGGGGACAATGTCTCACTTCGAAAGATGAAGCCATTTCGGGCCTTCCAAAATATTCCAAAGACAGAAAACCTTTCTCCTTGTGATCGCAAGATCTAGTTCTTCTCGAAGGCCACAGATCCAATTAGCCAAGTTGGGAGGAGGGGAATTAGATGGAGAGACGATTTCCCAAGTCGTCGCTGCATGGGGGAAAACAAAGAGGCAATGGATAGCCGATTCAACCTGAGCTCCGCATATTTGGCATTTCTTATCGGGGGAGCATCTCCGGTTATGCAGCTTCTCTTTGGTAGCAAGCGCTCCTCGAATGCATCTCCATAGGAAAAAAAGCGAATCTTTGGGGGTAAATTGGTCTCCCAAAGCCACTTCCACACCTCGTCACTTGTCGGTATATTGAGGTCCACTAAGTTGGGCCGACCTCTCGCAAATGTGCACGAAGGCCATGATATGTGTTCTCACTAAGAAGGCACCATTGGGAGTAGGCCTCCACGCCCATTTATCATTCGTATTGAGAGTGCCAATAGGAACTCGAGAAATAGCATTAGCTTCCTACGGAGAGCATTGTTGTTGGATTAAGTCAAGGTTCCATCCTCGCTCCTCAACATTAATCCAATCATTGACTCTAAGAGAAGGGTCAACAATAGTAGAAAGGCAGTGCCATCCAGATTTGGAATCCAGGGATCCCTATTGATCCAAGTTCCATCTCCATCTCCAATAACCCGAATTAAGCCGATGTCGAGGGCTTGACGTGCATCACAAAGACTTACCCATATCCATGACGCAGAGCTCCCTTTCCTCGCCGAGCGAAAATCCCCATTGTTGAAATACAATCCTTGAAGAAGACGTGCCCACATGGATCCATGTGTTGGCGTTGAGGATTTGGGGAGTGAAATGGTTTTGAAGGGCGTCAACGACTCTTTCTCTCTCGGTAATAGTTCATGAAATGATCGGTAATTTCATTTCGATGAGGTGCATGAAAAAGATACATATAATCCTTTTTTTATAAAACCACTTCTTTGTCTATCACTAAAAACCCCCTTATCCCAAAGAGATAGCAAGATAAATACTAGAAAGAAAAACAAAACAAACTCCCTCGACCCTAGAAACACCCAAAAGAAGCACATTAGTGAAGTCAGCTCGCAAAATCAAAGGAAACTAATTTTAAAGGATACGACGAAAGAGGGCCACTTTGCATCTCGCGGAACCGCTCTAAAGACTATACAAAAGGGACTTGAAGAGACCAGCTAGCTACACTCACAGAAAAAGGGGTCCCTTTAGAGAATTCTCCAACACACCTTGCTGAAGTTGGGTGAGAGGGTATCCCTAGCAGCAAGTAGTTCTCCAATGGAAGGATTTGAAATCCACCTTCTAGAAGAACATGTCCATCTGATCCACGAACCATTAGGTTAGAAGCACAACCAAAATTTAGGTGGAGCAGATCATTGACTCGCAGGGATCCGGGAAAGATAGCGATCGAATCTAAAGTGAGTAGAGGGGCAAAGGCAGCAGTTTCAAGGAATTGAAACAAAAATTGACGAAATAAAGAGTGGGCATTTAATTGAGTGGACTATAATATTCCACCACCAAAATTAATAGCAGGGGTGGACTTAAGAAATCATCTAGATCCACTAGTGACCATAGTTCCATTTGCTAAGGGGCATCTATATTACAAAACAAGTGTTTTATTTAAAATTAGACTTAGTGAATTTTGGAAACTTGTGTGGCCGGTTGGCGCAGATTTAGGTTGTGTTATCTGAGAAACAAATAAATATGTGGTGGTTCAAGAACAAGCATATATCAAGATTCAATTGTTAATTTTCGTCAGAGCAACGAAGGTGAGCTTTCTTCCCAAACTAATAGACTTCACGATGATATTAGAACTTTAGACGGACACATGACGTGCCTCGGGTCACTGTATAATAGTATTTTGAAAGATATAGTGCTATGGGAATTTAGAAGATCTATGTGAAAATCAGAGCCTTTGATATGTAGCATGGAGGAAGCCAACCAACTGGGGATATGATCTGATAGCTGGGGCTAAGATCTAATACGCAAGGGAGTCGTGACTTGTGATTTGATGAAATTGAATGCTTTAGGACTCGTATCTTCTCTTATTGTCTTCAAACTAACGTCGATTGGAACAAAGATTTCACCTAATTCTATGGCTGAAAAACGGTTATCCCGTTAACGGTGTAACCGATAACTGAACCGGAATCGGTGCATAATGGTTACACCGATAACCGATTAAATGATAAACGGTCGGTTCTCGGTAGCCAAATTTAGCTAATAACTAACCGATGGTTAAACAGTTAATAATCGATGGTTAAACGGTTAACCGACTAACCAATTATGAGCATCCTCATAGATAGAGCCAAAATAATAGACCTCCATGAGCTGCAAACATTGGCTGAAAATAATGGGGTGTTTGAAGGCTTACAAGACCCCTTGCCTATCCTAGTTGTAATAGTGACTTAGAACCAAATGATAATAATTTAAAGGAAGTGTTTTAGAAGGAACACAGTTGCTCGACAACAATTAGTAACATTAAACTTCCATGTAATTTGATGGGGTTTACGAGTTGAGTAATTATTGTTGAGTATCGCTGTATGCTTCTTTAATAAAGTTTGACGGTAGAATGATATTATTGTGTACATGTGTTGGATTGAGTTAATTATGTATTGATAATATACCTATGTTAAATTATTTTTTATTCAATGATAACAACTTAAGAAAAGAACACATGCGTATGTATGAAAAATTATTGAAAATTTCGCAATTAAAAGAAGTAGCTCTTGTGTTGGATAGGTTATCGATTGATTATTTTGGTATAACCTTGCCGAATCACTTAGCTATCAGTTATTCGGTTAACCAACAAAATAACCGAGAACCGCTATACGGTTACGGTTAATCGACTAATTTAAACGGTGCGGTTAACGGTAAGCACAACGTGCTTAACGGTTAACCGAGAACCGACTAAACGGTTCCGGTTATAACCAAGCCGAACTAATTATCAGCCCTACCTATTTCTGTTGAGTCCCTGCCCGCTTTGATGAGGTGGACAATTCCTTACGGAAGCTTGAGAGGAGGGCAAAAAATCGGGAAGAGATAGGGTGCTAACT